AGTGAAACAAAGGTGAGCCAACAAGGTCTTGCTGGTATGGAAATGATACAGCCAGATTGGAAAGTGTAAACAAGGAGACAACCCACAAATGCTTTCAGTTTTAGGCACAGCACTTCCACAAATCTTGTTTTATAAAAATACAAAGGAAAAAATAATACAAATTGCACACTTGCTGGTGGAAAGTTCTTTGATGTTGTAGCTGTGTCTAAGGCAGCTTCAGCAATTTCAAGTTCGATACTGCTTGTAATAACTATCAGTAAGAACTGAATAGAAAATGTGAACATCATGGAAATTCTTATGCTGCAGAGACATCTTTAAAGAAATTAATTGTTTCCATCTCTTGGAAGTATATTTTCCATTGGAAGCTTTTGTTTCTTGGACATGTCCTAATTAAACATTGAAATGTGTGATGTTAAGATTTAACAGTTTCAGACTTTTAGGTCATAAATTACAAGTATATGGGTTTAGACACTTTAAAGCACCTCAAATTGATCATCTTGGTTCCTCGGTAGTCTGCAACTCTGAAAAGTTCATTTACTTTTCAAGGTTTGGGGGGGTGGGAGTGAATTCTTTACTTCAACAGCTTTAGAAGATATGTTGTTATTTTCTTGAAGGAAATCACATTCTTGAAACACAGTTCTTTTGAACAAATGTTCTATGATAAATATTTGCTAGCTTGTTGGAAAGGTAGGTTTGTATGGGTGTTTATGTACGGCCTAGGAAAAACTTGTGGTGTCATTTGTGTCATTTATGTGGCTTGTTTCATCTGTCTAGAGAAACCATGTGTGCTTGGGTAGAGGGAATGTAGACTTAAATATAAGTAAAGTATGCAAGAATTTGGAAATATTTTGTGGCTAATTTAGTGAGATTTTTTGTAGAGGTGAATCAGTTCATGCAAAGCTGATAAAACATCCGTACTCTTATTGGGAAATAATTGGAGAAGTACACTGGGATGAACCAAATTTGGATTTCCACACATTTCTTTTAAGTGAGTCTAAACATTAGGAGATGTGTGCTTAAGTTTCGTCTGGTTTTTACCCTCTGGCTGAGCAGTGTGAGTGTAGGGCATCTGTTACTGTTCATGTTTATACTACAAACTAAGCATGGCCCTGACAAGGATTGAGTGCTACCTTATGCTGGTTTGCACTAGATAATTGTTAATGTTCTCTCTGATGTTATTTTGCTATTTAGTGCTCTCCTAAACAATTTCCAGACACAGTACAGCGCCCAGCTCCTTGTGGGGACAATCCAATAAACAATTTAAATGCAAACATTCTGTTTTAGAGGAGCAGGGGGAAGAGTTTAGCTTTGTGGACAGAAGCTTGCTTTTTTCTTTTTTTTTTTTTTTTCCCTATGGGAACAACCTTTCTTCATGTTCTAGATGTGGTTTGTGTTGTCTCTGTCAGTTCTGTTTTGTATTCACTGGGAAGGTGAATACAGTGCACGGTCCTTCTGCAGAAACTGTTCTGACACTCAGTGCTGGAGCCATGTCTGGGCCACTTCCTTGGGGTACCTCCTGCAGCTACTCCTGCTTTGGTGCTTTCTGGGGGAGAAGTAGGGAAGCTGGCAGTGGATAGGGAGGGAGGGATCAGCAGCAGGCATGCTTGTAAGCAGCTCCTGACATTTCTCTGCCTGTCAGCATTGTGCTCTGGCAGCATGTATCTTACACTTCTGGTACTCCCAGAGACCTCTCCAGCAGATTTTAGCTCAGCACTGTGCCCAGTCCTTTCTCTCCCTGATGCTCTCTAAGTGTTATGCATCTGCAGAGTGCTTAATTAGGACAACTAGCACCTGAGTTAATAAACTGAAAATATATCAAATGAAACACATCTCACCTTTGGTCAGTTTCTCAACTTTGGGAAATACTTTGTCCATAGTAATTTTGTCGTTATTGCTACCCCCATGACACTTTATCAGGGGTTTGATTGACCTAGTGGGAGAAAAAAGAAGTAGACTGGAGAATCAGTTTGGACTATTAAAAAGTCAAGCCCCCCCAAAAGTATTCAGTTACAAAAATATTAAAAGTATTTGTCACCCTCCTTTCATTTAAAAACTAAGCTAGAGGTCAAGGTCCAAGCAAATGTAAGGGTGAATGGTTCAAAAGATAATTAAGTTATTCCATAATTTTGACAATTATACATGGCTGTTCAGCTTTTTCCAAGCAGACTTCTCTCCCCACTGCCATGTGTTTTCTTGCTGTTTATTTTTTTAACTTCTGTAGAAAAATGCAAAATAATGCTTATTATAGCAATACCCAAATTCTGCCCTCTTACTAGAGAGCAAGTGGCTACAGCCAAGGAAAGCTTTTCTTAAATATTTTTGTTAGAAGAGAAGAGGAATGAGTTGGCAGCTAGCACTAGATTTTGTTCTCATATTTTCCAGTCTAAAGTAACTGGCAACAATTCCTCTTGCTCTGTATCATCTGTTTGCTGGCCTTAATGACTATATAAGGCAACATGGCCTAAATTAATACTTCTGAGCATACTTGTTTAATGAGTTTACCACTTATTTTTCTGAGTAGCGTGGGGTTTTTATGCTTCAAGAGTTCTTACACTGTATGAAACTTTTTATATACTGTATTTTGTTGTTCTTGTGAAAAAGGTACTACAAGTTTCATCAGCTTCATATGTCCAAATATCTAGGAGATTTCAAGGGAAAGAAATATGTGCATTCTAATGTTTGAAGTAGTCTTTTAAATGTCTGAGTGTCAATGCTAGAGAGAAGGTAGCACTGTGTAAGTAGTCAGGATTGGTAAGGTTGTTTACAGCCTTCTCCTTATGTTAACATTATGTATATTTACCAAATATTTGGCTTCTCAAAGTTTCTGTTATCTTTTACTTTTAGGCCAAACCAGTACATAGTTACTTTGATTTTTGGTTCAGTTATAGAAGTGTATGTGGTTTATAGTTGTACTGCAAAGTGGTAATTTTCAAAAGCTTGTTCAGTGACACAGTATGGAAGGTGTGTCCTAACCCAACCTTTTTCTCTTAAAAAAAAACACCCTACCCTCCCAACAGAATAAACACATGAAAATGCTAATACTATTGTTCTAAAAAGAACAATGGCTGAAAAACAGGATGTCTTCCAGGAAAAGTGGGCAGCTTTTCCAAAGCTCTCATTTTTAGAATCACAGTTTTGCCTTCATACTTGCTGACTCAAGCACTACTCCTCCTCTACTCACTTTACAGATTGGTTCTGTCCTGTAGTTTTGATTTATTTTAATATTGGTTTAGTTTCATTTAATATTGGCTGCCTTTGGAAAATTGGCTGGATGTGACTTTCAAAATTGTAAGTATTGATAAATATTAGATTCAAAAGGAGTGCTTGCAGGAAGAATGAGTCCTAGTGAAATGGCTGGAAAAACCACAAAGTTGTTACGTAGAATGCAGAAGAATGTTGTTTTGGTTTGCTTTTAGTTGACTATGTTCAAAACTCTATAACCTCTTTTAAAGGAGTTCATGAAACACCTGGATAAATGCTGATGTGCAGGTACTCTTATAATAAAAGATTTGATAAGAATGAGTCTTGTTGCTTATAAAGCGAGAGTGATTTGCACTGTTACTCAGCATACTTGTCATTTGCTATAACTTACATTTTTTCAGTGATTTTAAATTTTCATAGCTTTTTGGGATGTTATAAGGGCCATCACAGTTGGTGCTTCCACAGTGCCAATTCTTTTCTCCCTGTGCCCTCCTAGTCAATGTTGTTGTCTCTCCCAAGCTAGTGTTGAAACTTCTGCTCCTGCAGGAAGCTGGGTAAGGGACATAAGCTGGCAGGATATTAAACACAACAAGAAGTGTCCAGTTTCCTGTCCTTCACATGTATTTTAGCATCCTGAGCTGGCTCACTACAGAATCAGGAGATTGTCAAGACTAGTGTGAGGGTGTGAACCGAAAAGCAGACTGGTAGAAAGGTAGAAAGTGGAGAGAACTGGCTTGAAATGAAGCTGTGAGGAGCTGCCACTGGAGAACCGTGGGTGCACTGGGCTTGTGTAAAGTCAGCTGGGGTCCCTCTGGTTCCTTCAACTCGAGACTTGTCTGCTCTGTCTCTTACCCCTCTGCTATGCATCTTATCTTTCTTATCTCACTTAAATCTTCAGAGAGTTACAATTGAAAAGCTTATTAATGTTAAACACAGAGATACGCTGTGTTTTCTATAGCAGTGATGGAAGACTTTCTGTGGTATCATGTAGTCAAACCTTGTTTGAGAGGCTGTGTTTATCATATATATGGAGAGATATACTGGATAATGTTACTTATTAAATTATTGCAATAATGTTAGCAGTGAGCACTGTAATGGTAATGAGCTGTGCTCTGTTAGCAGGCAAATTGTACCATGTCTCTGCATGATCATTCACA